CCGAGTTTTGGGACATAGCCTGCCTTCCTAGAACTTCTGGACGTTTACTATGCCGCTTTAATTGCAAAATAATATTCCTTGCCAAACCGTCTCTCTCCTCATATGGTAGCTATAACCTTATATATGCTTGCCATGTTTAGCAAAACACGCAAAAATGTTTTGATATGGTCAAATTTGATTACTTAGAAATGTGATGCTCAATTCCAGTAAGCTGCCATCTTTTAAAATTTGACACAGGAAGTGATGTCATCGACTCTCAACTTTGCATATAGCATTAGGTGAGGAGCTATTAAGAATTACAAAACCAGCTAAATATTCTTTTTCAACTTTGTATCTTATTTAATCCTTCTGAAAATCTCTTCTTTTATTCTAAGTTGACAAGCCCTGAAAATATTTTTGCACAGAAAGTAATGATCACTTGTCTAGAAGTGATTTTGTGCTACCTTCCTATACTGTTATGGGCAAGGTTATAGAAGTTGAGAGTTGATGACATCACTTCCTGCAAGAAATCTTAAAATATGGCAGCTCACTGGAAATAAGCACTAGATTTTTAAATGATCAATATTGACCATATTAAAACATTTTCCCATGATTTGCTAAATATGGAAACTATATATATGATTATAGCTACCATATCAAGAGAGAAAGGGTCTGGCAAGGAATATTCCTATAAGGAAAATTAAAGACCATTACACACTAAATTCATGGTTCACTTATAACGTCTACTTAAAGAAGGAATTCTCCCCGAGGTAAGTGTCCCTGTAAGGTAGACAAGTGGGACCATGATCAATCGAAAGTAAAAAAGGTATTGAATAATGAGATTAATTTGAATCCTCCAACCTTCGCATAAATCTCGTCCATCTCAATAGTAGTTTCTAGGGTCATCAGACATCCTTGAAGAACAACCAGACGCCGGGTTTCCCAGGACTATAATAACAGGATCGATCGCTACAAACTGATCCGAGTAAAAGCATTCATTTTTTTTATAATGTGATATCGTGGGGAATACAATAGAGTAAATCCCTGACACAATATACATGGTCTCTTATTCTTTTATCTTCGTAAATGGTATTCTACGTATCCGGGACAAGTTAGAAAAATGCTTATTTAAAGGCAGAGTCAGATCTATAGGGGATACACCTAACGTTATTTGATATAGATACCTATGTGGTTAATTTGTTTTTTACCCTTATGGTAATTATGTTTACATTATATTAACGAAGTTCACAGACAGAACATTGCGTCACCAATCTGCAACTAAAATACTGTTCTTCAAAATGTCCTTAAATCAAAGAATCGTTAGTTGGACTCCTTTTCCAATCAGGTAATTGAACATTGGAATAACATTGTTGATTTTTGGATAATGAGCTCATTATCAATCTTATATAACCCATTAGTAATGATTGATGGTTTTTAAAGGGGGTGTTCTTGCCAGTGACATCACACAAAGTGATGTAATGACCTCACAATTGCCTTGTTCCATATGCACGAGTATTCCAATCTACAACCATTTCTCTTCAAATTTGTCCTTTAACATGTATTCCAAAGCTGAGAGTATGGGGGGAATGAGCAATAGTTTTGTGAATTCGGACTGTGCTATTATGATTCATGAATGGCGACGAGGGCATTTTGACAATACATTACATGATTGTTGAATGGTGAGGACTTAATTCATAAGATTATTATTTTGAATACATCAAGGCTTGTGTTCCTCGTGAATGGTTGCCTTCTTAGATGTTTCATATATATTCTCTGTTGTGAAGTAGATATTCTAAGAGATGAAAGGATAAAACGTGGTTTATTCAACAAGTTATATAATGCATACATTCGCTCACTTCATGTTCTAAACTGTATAGAAATCACAAAGAGTTTATGAATATGGGCTTACAATAATTGTCTCATGTTTGACTTCTGGTATGAGCGATGTACTTGTATACCAGATCGACCCTTTGTGATCCATTTCTTGTGATTGTTTCATTATAATCGTGTTGAAAGATCAGCATGTTAAGCTCAGCCTTTGGAAGAGGCTGACTTTGTACACGAACCTGTAAATAAAATGATAATGATAAGTGTCCCCTCTCAATCGCTTTTCCAGGGATCTAGTTATAACCATTGGGGCAAGAAAATACTACAAATTGAAGGAGAGTTAAGTCCCCGGAGGATTATATATCAACACGTTCACGTACAAGTTCAAGTTCTTTTAAAATCGTCAAACTTAATCTCCCTATTATTGTTCTCTCTCCACGTTTAAGTGTTAATAGAGTTGACACACGTGGGATATTTTGAATTCCTTTTTCACCTAGGAATTGTCTTTGATTACGGACGAGTTGGGCCTGTCTGTGAACAGGATAGACGAATTTCGTTCTTAGCACGTCCATCTAGTGAGCAATCGCCTTGTAAGCGAGGGGTCGTGGGTTCGATCCCCACTGGGTTGGACTGACTTTTTCACATCAGCCCTAAGGAAAGGATTTTGTTCTGTGTTTTCATTAACCAACTCGATCTTATTGCAGAATTAGGCAACAGTTCAATAAGAATGTAATGTAAACTAGTTTGGCGCGAGGGATATCAAATATATATATATTGTTTCCAAGAGACTGCACGTATTCATCAGTTTCTTAAGTCACCTTCAATGTCAATAACGACCCAGACAATAAAATAATAATCAGTTTTATTATACTGCTTTACCATAAAACGTTATAAAACACAATTTAATCAATTACAGAAATATCTTCAAAGCCACAGACTCGGGATTTTATTCCAATTTAATTGCTTAAAGATGTCATATCTATCAATGACGGGATCAGCATTTATGAATATTTACGGTTGAGTGTGATTAATTCGGTTGAATAAACATTACAGCATAAAATGAGTCTCGGTACTCAGTATTATATCCAATTGTTAGCCAATCTCTGTGATTTATTTAATAATCGATCTCCCATTGCGTCTGATTATGATTAAATTCTGCACAATGAATTGATTCTCCTGCTGATTGAACGATAGTTTGAACGTTAATACAGGGTGTCAAAAACACTCCAATGCAACACTCCGATTGGATATCTCTGTGAATTATGAAGAAATACTCTTGAAATTCTTTATTACTGGGTAACTCTGTAAGATTTCTTTGTGTACCATCACCAAATGTTCGAATTTCCAGCAGTGCATTTAATTCAGTAATTAAGTAATTTACAAACTTCTATGAAATTCTAACTGCCCATTGGAAAATTGGCTTTGTAAAAAGTTCCTTCAACGAAAACAGATTCGTTTCCATTTTATTTGGGCACACATTTTTGAGACACCCGGTAAGTTGAAATGGATAGGCTGAATCAAGTATTTCATAATATGGCGTCAGAGAAATGGATGGTCTTTGTAACCTATGAATAAAAATATATCCTATTACGTTACTTTATGAATACATGGATACAATTACTAATGAAGCCATTATCTATTATCCATTACGATAAGATTCATGGAGAAGACCAGTCGAAGCTTTTTGAATTATATTTCAGCTCATTAACATATTTAGCAATTTGTAAGTGGGTTTTATGTTTTAAGTCCTGGACCTAGTGCAATGTGGACTGAATCATTCCTAAAAATGTGTAATTTCAAAATTTGCATGAGATGAGCAGCATTGAGTGTACGTGAAGTTCAGGAAAATAACGCCTGTGGGGAATGTATCAACAACAATGCATCAAGTCTTGGCTTGGCTTAAATTATTTTTACACATTGCAAAATATTTTCTTCGAAATCATCCAAAAGATACGAAATCACTAAAAGAACATATTAAAGTGAGTGCTCCTAGAATTGAAAAACGATAATCATCGACTATACAACTTTGATTATCTATTTTTCAACTTTGGTGAAATTATGTCGGCTTTAAAGTTTTTAAAATTGCATGACGTTGACATGTTAACGTGTTTACATCGCAGTCATTTAGCTTTAACAATGTTTAATAAAAAAAATAGAGTCAGCTCTGTATTCCCGGATGTCCGAAATTGTAGACCGTTAGAGTTGTGTTAACTTTGTGTCATCTTTTATTAAAGTACAAATGAGATATAGCTAAATCGATTCACTGGAACTGTGTTGCTTAAGAAAACAAGGGTAATGGAAAAATATCACCCTTACTGAATCAGCATTACAATAGCAGAAAAATGTTAGCGTCAATTAGAAAATAAATTTCTCGTGGGGTTTTAAAGGAGAAAGAAAAATAACCGAGTTTATTTATTCTTATGAGTAAAACAACGTAATTTAATCATGAATCAAAGGACCCCGCTCTGTATGTTAAACAAGGTTTTGTACAAATATATAATTTGATTTCATTATAGGTCTATATTTATTACATTTATCGATAAAAATACATTTCATTTAACGGAAAGAAAAATCTCCCGATCAATTCAGGAAAGAATATGCTTGACAAATGCATTATCAAATACAAGATAAGAAAATCGAAACTATACATCTAACCTAGAAACTTAATCTAATAAGTAATTGCTTGAAAGCCCCGCTCGGACGCAGAATAACCTTAGGCCAGTTAAGAAGTGCCAGGAATCGAATGCGAATTAACCGTTGGAAGTAATCCATTGTATATATCATTATAGCCAAATAGTATTAAACTTTGCAAGATACGAATGACACAAATATCGGACATATAATTAAGTTGTTCGAAACTTTGATTCTTCAAGATTTTATGTTTTAGAATTGAGAATGACAGCGCAGCAAGTAAAGAAATAAGTAAAAAACGTAAGATGCAGATATCGGAGAGATTACTAAAAATCCAAAAACTTGGAAAATTATTCATTGAATGTTCTATACTTGGAATGACAAAGCAGCAAGTAAATAACGTGGTGATAGTTTAAGCTCTGGTTGGATTAACGTACGACAGTCGGTGAAATTGAAAAGCAGACACATTAGTAAATCAGACGGTTCTACAAGGTTGGAGCATCCTGATACGCTGATATGATATAAAGCGGACGAAACTTGGAGTCAGCTTGTTATATCGCAGTTGGTCGCCAAGTTAAAGTAACGCTGGTCATTTAACGGGAAGGATATAAAGTTTGTACAATGAAGCGTATACCCGTGAAATAATGTTGGTTTAACAGCAATATGACACTGTTCAGCAATTGAACGTCGTAAAACAAATTGGAAAAATGGATTTACTGAAAAGGATTATGGCATGTTATATTTGATAGTAACCTTACGTAAGAATCACACGAGCGTTTGTTTTGAAATATAAACGATAACATATTACAATACATTGAAATCTAAAACAACTTTGATTTGTATGCAAAAATATTCTCTTTGGAATATATGATGTTATGCACATCATGTAGTATTTTATCTCACGTGAGTTTTAAAATTGACGCAATACCTTAAGGTTTTTGGATTTGCGCTAAAATAACTTTATGGATTTAGTTGTAGATCTGAAATAAAAGTCGACGCCATGCCTCAGCTAAAAACAGACACAGAAGAAGGTAAGCATTCTTGATAAAATCCTATTTAGCCATTTAACTAAGATTATCTAATAGATTCAGTTCACACATCCCTGGTTTCTGGTTATATAAACAGCAGTTTATCACGATTTCCCTAATTTTCACATCAGTGAATTATCAGAAGGTCAAATGGTTTTATCTGTTTTTCCGTCCCGTTTAATCAACATCATTCGCAAAGCACAGGGTATTAAATACAAGGGGAATCTCCTCAAGGCCAAAAAGCAAATACACTACCTCTAAAATGTTACATGTACAAGCAAAACAAAAATCTAGTCGAGTTACGTTGACAGATTCAAATACATTTACATATACAAACAACTTTGGAAACACGCTTTTAAAAACACAAGTGATGATTTAAAACATGATGTCGTAAAATAAGACCAATGTCGTAATCGTGACTATCGACATTTGTTATAGCAGCAGCAACAGGTGGTTTAATTTTTAACAAATAATTCTTTGATCACGTTGATGCAAATCGACATTTATGTTAAAGGTAATTAATCAGGCACTTATCTCGAAAATACAAAAAAATCAATTAGTTTCAAGTAAAGAAAAATGGTCTACATGTATAACGCCAATTTCAACTTTTTTCAACAGTTTTTCAAAGGATAATATAACGGGACATTTTATTTACCCATTTAAAGACATTCTGAAGAACCAGAACGTGTTAGTAAAACAAATAATCTAGCATCAAAAATATAACATCAAAAAGGTTGTATACTCGAACAACATGGAGCATCCAATCTCAAATGACTTGGGAAAGACAAAATCAAATTTTAAAATCAATAAATCACAGCAATTCGATTACAATCCACGTGAGTTTTTTATCCTATCAATAGCTATTCAAGCATTGCACTATTAGTACACGATTGAATTTCACCCTTGCAGACTCGTTAGTAGTTAAATTCCAATCTAGATTTTGTGTGTCACAAAAATAAAGGGTTTATAACAATGCAACATCGTGTGATGTTAACTGTCATCCGTTAACGGAGACCATGTTCTGACATTCAGACATCACCCATGCAGACAGATTGACTAAAATTACATTCGTATGATGTTGGACTCGGCATTTACCAGGAAACTTGAAATAAAGTAAAATTTTCGGCAATTTTTTCTAATTTCCGGGTGAATGTCGAGTTTCGCATCATACGAATGTAATTTTAGGCGATCTGTCTGCATGGGGTGCACATATCTAGGCAAGGTTTGTCTCATTCCAGCCAATCTGAACACAGTATTTTGTCACCAAGTTTCATTAAATATGTTCTTTTGGTGATTTCGTATCTTTTAAGTGATACGGGTTGAAAATATTTTGCAATGTACATGTGTGAAAGAAATTTGAGCTAAATACTCAATGCCTTGTTGAATGACCATGTCCCTTTCAGACGTTCTTCCCTAAAATTAACACTCGAAGCTGCACATCTCGTGCACATTTAGGAAAGCAGCACCTTCAAGGAATGATCATTCCAAATTACAATGAGTCCTGGGCTTAAAACCTCAAATCTTCCATCACCGATTTGTATCCATAACCATATTTCAGACATTGCTTTACTGCACACAAATACTTGTCTTCTTTCCAGGTTTTTTCCCCATTAACAATAATGATTTACTGTATCGTGAATCATAACAAATCAACTGTAAGATATTCTACGCCTCCAAAATTACTTCTTTAGCACACATCATGGGCAATAAACATACGACGTTTTATTTATTTTAATATTTTATTGAACTGTATTGATAAATGGATTGCATAATCGTTCATAAAACAATCTTTATTGCGAATACACAGTTTAATGGATTAACTTTATAGAATTCTCCCTATCGGGCCCTCTAAAACCATCTGACTATCATAAAACAATGGCATATAACTCACAGGGGATTTGTTAAATGTCCGAACCAGTGGACAATAGGCATATCTAAACTTTACCCGATTGGTCGTTCCTTACACATTGCTTTGCATGAACGATTGATCCCAGGAGACAAATCGCATTTTAAGATTGTTCATTCCGACCTTTTAAATCGCTCGATGATACCAATCGTTGAAAAGAATAATACGCTGGCTTTCGTGATTACATATTGACATAGACGTTCTGGTACTGACATTTCACATTTAGCTTACTTACAAGGATATCAAATATAATTGTTTGTGTTCTTGCGTCTTTCAATGTCGATATGTTCCTGTTGAAGAATAACTATTATTCAATTGCCAACTGACAGTTACTGCCTTTCATCTGGAAAACTATTGCATAATTGAACGCAAATCGGGTGCAACATATGTTTTTCATTGAAAATGTGTTTTCGTCTCACAAAGTCAATAGGATTTAAGATTGAAAATACTTTGAATCATGAATGCCAAAAGCATTTAGTAATCTTCAATGATCATGGTATTATAAAAAAGAATTCGAAGTTGGACGTAACTGGTGCGCGCGCACTTATGTACCCGCGTAGCTTTAGCATTATTCTTAGAAACACAACTATGCATAAAACAAAAACCAAACATTTATTTTCAGTAAACATAATGCAAATCATTTCCCTAGACGCTAACCAATTATTTGCGCGTTTGAACACGTTCTCGTATGGATTTTATGTCTCGAGTTTAACCTCTATTATATAACTTGAAACAAAATGTTACAGACAAACTGTATCTGGATTTCCCCGTTCACAATGTGAAATCATTGCCAGTGTCTATCATCACGTTTTGATTCTTATTGCGAAAAAAGATCTCTATGACGTAGTTTATCAAAACAATTTGATTGGCGCAGATAGGTATAATTCAATCATTCGATTTTTTGGGTTCCCGCATTGCCATAAGTCACAGTAGAAACTGAATTTGACGAAACTTTTCTTAAAAGACATATATTCCTACCCCGCAAATAATAGAACCTATTGTCAATGTCCTAATACACTTCGTATACCGTCAAAGCATAGAATCCAATGCAGTTTACCATAGAAATTAAGTCAGGTGAACTGAAACCTCGAATTAACAACAAACGTTTTCCACTAAGTTCAAATAGAACGCAATGAAACAATAACAATTTATGAATATATCAATTGTGTTTATCACGTCAGTAGTGAAATAAGTAATACGATGTATGGGTGTAATGATATCTCTAGTTCCTGTAGCTAACGTTTTCATGGCTTTACATCCGCCTCTCTCATTCAGTGATACTTGAGTGTCAATTCACTAATTGTAAAAAGCGATCTGAAAATTACAATATCAACGCAGACAAAGTGCTAGGTAAATACTAAGAGCACTTATGATAGGAAAACCTTAGAAATACATAGAATTCGGGCGGTAAAAATCAATTCATTAACCATAATGGTTGTCTCAATTGGTAGAAAATCCGCGAGTATGATGTATTTTGACGCCCTTATTCTATTTTTAGCATTGTGAAACCTGAAAGTGACATTTTATCTCATCATTTATGGAATGTTCACTTAAATTCCGAGTTTTTCTTTTCTTGATAGTTTCAATACGTTTAGTATAATTTCTTTTTTAACCTAAGACATGACCAGCTTGGTACATGTATTTCGGCCATGGGATAAGTTTGTATCATAGTTATATTTATCGAACAATCTTTAGCATAGAAGACGAGTAAATAAGTTAGAATCAATCTATCATTCTTTATGAGATTTCCCCATTAGATGGGAGATGAAAATATAGACAATGGAAAATTGAATAAGTTATGTATTCTTGACACCTACTTCGGGGGATGGCAAGGAATACAAGGAAGGAGAATTGTTTTAGTTCTCTCCTTCTTAATTCATGACAGTTAAAAGGTGAAACGATGTGATGATTTTAAAAGTGGGTACCTTTTGATAACATAACGTTGTATTGACGTAATATTTTTAGACCGTAACTGAGAAAATTGTAATGAAACAGTGATATTTCTGAATCTTGTATTATGTTCAGATAAACAAACACTGGGAGCAAACTGAACTTTTTTTCAACGAGAAAAATATCTACACCCTCCATCAAAATCTACAAAACCAAGTTTCGATATGTAAGGGGTTCGCCATTGACATGTTTCGAACAGTGTATGAAAAAAACCCATCATGTACATCAAAGTACCTTTAAAAACACTCATTGTGCGCAAAAAATATGAGACTCGAGTGTATCGCTAAATTACAATTTACACTACTTAGCTCGCTAGATGTAATTCATTGACAGCGGTAATACAGGTTTAAAGTACATAATAGAATAAGAATGTAAATATTGCCCTCGGGAACTATAAAAGTCCATATGATGTTTTGACATTATAAACATTTCAAATGGACCACAATATAAACACCTCGTTGTCTTATGCATTGAACAAAAAGTAATTGCTCTGACGCCAATATACTCTTCTTATTAATATATGTTTCAATCTTTATCCAGATTATTGTGAAAATGCGAACTTAAAGTCACAAGGAAAATCACCAGATCATCTAGAGTAGAAATCCATGCATCCATGCATCAATAAATCGGTATTGCACTCTACTATACCTAACACCCACAAATGCATGAGATACATTATTTGTCTAATTGTATTGTTTAGTATATTTTTGAAAGTACCTTAGTAACATCTAACATTTAACCGATAAACCATTAATAAGTAACAGACAAATAAAAACAAATACATAATTTTTATTAATAAGCCAAATGGGTTGCTCATGAACACCAAATGCAAGGTATAGTAGAGTGATTATCGAGTACTCTTTTATTATTTTCTACACCACAGTGCAAGTAATAGATAAGAGACGGTCTGATTAATCAGCATCAATGCAAATAGTATACCCCATTTATCAAATGTTTCTGCAAAAGATATCGGGCACATACGTATATTGACGTAGTGGTACATGCTTCACTAAATGGTTCCAAACGCTCAGCAATTCTTGGTCAAGCGATTGGGGGTTTGAAGTTACACTTTTTAAGAGGACGTGTATTTGCGAACTCCCTTACAGTGTCTCGAACAAGACATCTTATCTTCATCACTGGCGGATCC